TGCTTAGGGAAGATAGTAATCAACCTTTTTGGAAAGAAAAATTTATCAATGGTTTACCAAATCTTTTTGCTCACAAAATCCGAAATGTTTTAGTTAACGAAGAGGGTGTCATACCTTATCATACCCTTACTTATGGTAGCATAGTTAATGTTATACAAAAGGAAGGATTGAAAATGTGTATTGACATGAAGATTTCAAAACAAGTTAATAAAGATAAATCTATCGCTAAATACGAACTTGGAACGTTTTGTGAACAATACGGTTTACCTCCAATTGCTCCTTCGAGTAAAAAGAAAAAAGCCCAACAAACTAGCAAGTTTTCTAAATATCAATCCAGATTTTATAAAAACAAAAGATCTTCCAACAAACCTTTTCAAACAAATAAATTTTATGAAAAACCATCTCCAAACAAAAAACCTTTTCAAAAGCCTAAAAAGGATTTTCAAAATAAAAAGGGAAAATGCTACAAGTGTGGCAAATTTGGTCATTATGCAAATGAATGTAGAGTTAAAAAGGTTATTAACCAACTAAAAATCTCTGAAGAAGAGAAGGTTCAACTTATTCAAGCTTTAGAAATTAGAAATACCGACTCTAGTCAATCTGATAAAAATCCCGATTTTTCCGTCTCCGACTCTAGCAGTTCTAGCGACGTCTCCTCGCCAAACATTAAGTTTGGGTGCACGGACACTTGTTGTAATAAAATTTCAGTGCTTAATAAGCAAGAAGAACAAGAAGAGTTTTTAATGGAATTAATTAGTAAAGTCGATGACCCTGATTTAAAATCTTTTTATTTGAAAAAACTCAAAAATTTGATTTCTTCTCATGAACCTGGCACTAGTCAAATTTCTTCTCAAAAGATTTCTCTCAGCACCACTTTGGAACGGTTTAATAAACCAAAAAAGGATTTAACCATCAAGGATTTACAAAAAGAAATTAACCAAATTAAATCAGAAATTAAATTTTTAAAATCTGAAAATACAGAAATTCGTTCACAACTCAGTAGAGCTCGTACACAAGCGCTTGTAGAAGAACAAGGTAATTCTTCCTCAAACTCCGATTCCGACACTCACTCAAAAAAATCTTCTTCTTCAAAGGACCTTGTTTTAAGTCTTTTAGACAAAATTAGAATTAGAAAATGGTATTCTAAAATCAAAATAATAATTGACGATTTTTCTTTGGAAACCATCGCTTTAATTGATTCAGGCGCAGATTTAAATTGCATTCAAGAAGGGTTAATACCTACAAAGTATTATCACAAATCAACTGAGGTACTTAGCGCTGCTAATCAATCCCCAATGAATTTAAAATATGAGATCCCCAAAGCCCATGTTTGTCAACAAAATGTTTGTTTTAAAACTCCATTCGTTTTAATTAAAAATATTTCTGATCCAGTTATTTTGGGACTTCCTTTCATTGCATTAATTTATCCTTTTAAAGTTCATCACAACTGTATTTCAACAAAGGTTTTTGGCCAAAAAATTACTTTTGAATTTTGCATAGAAACAGATCTTAAAAAGTTAAAACAACTACAAAAGGATAATGTTTCAAAAACTCTCAACCAGATTACTGCAAAATCCCAACAAATTGCTTTTTTACAGGAAGAAATCCTTCACAAAAGAATTGAAGAACAGTTAACAAACAAATCTTTATTAAATTCTATTCGCCACTTTTCTGATAAGCTTACTAAAGAAATTTGTTCAGATCTTCCAAATGCTTTTTGGCATAGAAAACAACATATTGTCAAACTCCCTTATATTAAAGATTTTGTTGAATCAAAAATCCCCACCAAGGCACGACCGATTCAAATGAACCAAGAAGTTTTAGAGTTTTGTAAAACCGAAATTAATCAACTTTTAGAAAAAGGAATTATCCGTAAAAGCAAATCTCCATGGTCTTGCCCTGCTTTTTATGTCCAGAAAAATGCAGAATTAGAACGCGGCGTTCCACGATTAGTTATTAACTACAAACCTTTGAATGATGTTTTAGAATGGATCCGATATCCAATCCCCAACAAAAGAGATTTGATAAAAAGACTTTCTCAAGCAACTGTTTTTTCCAAATTTGACATGAAATCAGGTTTTTGGCAAATACAAATTCATGAATCTGATAAGTACAAAACTGCTTTTGTGACTCCTTTCGGACACTATGAATGGAATGTAATGCCTTTCGGCTTGAAAAACGCACCAAGTGAATTTCAAAATATCATGAATGAGATTTTTAATCAATACAGCCATTTTTCGATTGTTTATATTGATGATGTATTAATTTTCTCAAAATCAATAGATGAGCATTGGAAGCATTTGCATGCATTTGCTAGGATCATTAAGTCTAATGGGTTAGTAGTCTCGGCATCTAAGATTAAGTTATTTCAGACCAAAGTTAGATTTTTAGGATACCATATTTACAGGTCTACCATTCAGCCAATTGATCGAGTTATCCAGTTTGCTGATAAATTTCCAGATCAAATTATTGATAAAACCCAGCTTCAAAGATTCCTTGGTTCTCTCAATTATGTTTCAGAATTTTATCCTCATCTTCGTCAACAATGTAAACCTTTGTTTGATCGTCTCAAGGAAAATCCTCCATCATGGACTCAAAATCATACTTCCATTGTCAAACAGATAAAGAATCATGTCAAGACTTTACCTTGCCTTGGCATTCCAACTCCCGGCTCTCTCAAAATAGTCGAGACCGATGCTTCTGATATCGGTTATGGAGGTATCCTCAAACAAAAAACTTCTTCCGAATCTCCTGAACAAATTGTTCGTTTCCATTCAGGAATTTGGAATCCGGCTCAAAGTAACTATAGTACTATTAAAAAAGAGATTTTATCAATTGTATTATGCATTAGCAAATTCCAAGATGATTTATTAAATCAAAAATTTTTAGTTCGTGTTGATTGCAAATCTGCAAAACATGTTTTACAAAAGGATGTTCAAAATATTGCATCAAAACAAATTTTTGCACGCTGGCAAGCCATATTAAGTATTTTTGATTTTGATATTGAATACATTAAAGGCAGCCAGAATTGCATACCAGATTTTCTGACCAGAGAATTTTTGCAGGGGAAGAATGGGTTCCAATCCTAATCAAAGAAGGCTTCCAGCCACTCTCACCCAAACCCCAGCACCAGTAAAACAAGAGTCTATTCCCGACTCCTCATCGGCCCTCGCCATTACAAACAGATTTACTCCCTTAGGATCAACAGTAGGAAATATCCGACCAAACTACCAAACGGCCTTAGCCACCCCTTATGATCCCTACTCTTCAGTTCGCTCTCCAGCTCCTTCACAGCCTAAAACACCTAGCTATGCTAAAACATCTCCATATGTCCAAAATCCCAATTCAGAAAAGCTTTTTAACATCCCTCTTCACATTGACAAAAACCAACCCCCAGAGCGCATTGCCAAATTACTCCTTCCACCAAATTTTCATTTCTTACCAACTGAATCCTATAAAAGCCTAAAATATTACCAGGCCATCCTTTCAGAAACAGAAAGCATTGCTATTAAGCCAATTTACAGTACCACTCATCAAAACAAAATATTGTATCATTCACTCCACATTGGAAAATTCCTTACCGAACTCGAATGGGGAATTCCCCTTTTTCACACAAAACCCCTTCATACTCAGCATGTCCTCATCCCAAACAATCATTACAATTACTATGATTATATCCAAGCATGGACCAACATTTTTCTCCACCAGACAGAAGACTTTAGTCATTCATGGTTCATAACCTTTGATAAAAATTTCAGATTACGGTTTCCTGCATGGTTTCCAGATTGGTGGGCCTCCCATGGCCCAAGCTCTTCTATCATTCCAGATGACCTTCGTCATGTACTCACATACAATTTCCAGCCCAGTTTTGACAGAAGTCGTTTCGACAACAGAGTTACTATTTTTTCACTGCTCATGGCCAAGTACAAGATTCCATGGATTCTCAAATGGAACTTTGAAGTAGACACTGGTGGTATTTACAGATCCCGATGGGTAAAATGGTGGGATAAATTCAACCACCAAAAAATTATTGATCTTGTAAAAATGGAATTTCCCCAGGTATCTTCTCAGGCACTGCCAATCAAAGTTTCAACTTCGTCCTCACAAGCTTTGCCAGTTCATCAACAATTTCCTGAGTTGACAAAAACCCAGGAGCCAATTCAATCCCTATCAGACATTAGTCCGTCATCTTCCCTCAAAGGAAAACCTGCTAAGTCCTCTAGCTCGAAGAAAGAAAAATCTGCCAAGTCTACCCAGCTTCTGGATATGGCCCAACTGCTCATGGCTGAAGCAGCAATGCTACAAAAAAGAAAAGGTTCAGATTCGGACTCTGACGCTTCTGATGCCTCATCTCAACTTCCCTCCAAATGGGCAGATCAAGCAGATCTTCAAGATGCCCAAGATCCGTTTGATTATTGAACTGCATTTTTTGCCCATGTGATTGTGTCAGCCCAGCAACTTCATCAGCAGTAGCTGCTTTCATCTCTTCCGTAAAAGAATTATTCTCCAATAGTGAAAAACAAAAAGGTCACTATTCACAATAGTGAAAAACAAAAAGGTCACTATTCATTTAACTTTTGTAAAAGAATCAAAGCATCTTCACTATTCATTCAGCTTTTGTAAAAGTAACATCGTGACTCCACAGTAGAGGTTCTTCAGTCAGTCAGCGGGATTCCCGGATCCATTTGGCAAGCTTCATTCAGTCTCCTCGCTCTATATAACGAGGACTCATCTTCAGAAGATGGATATAGTTTTTTAAACACTCTCTGTGCATTCACTAGAACAGAGAATATTTCTAAACACTTGTAATACATATTATTCAGGATGCCTGCGAGCTCCACCTTGTTTACTTATTTCATCTGCCATTAGGCAATACCTGTTTGTAATCTGCATTGCGTAAGTTTTCAATAAAACTTATTTTCAAAATATATTTGCATCATTACATTTAATTCATAATTTTCTTTACATGCTTTACTTCCGCACTCTGAATTATATGGAAGGCTATGCCTCCTGCTGTTCTTTTTAATTCAATATATTGATATGTTTCTTTTAACTTTTTATATGCTTTACTTCCGCACTTTACATTATATGGATGGTATATATATATATATATATATATATATTAGGCCTTTAGTGATATTGATTAAAGATTTCCAAATTTTTTTTTTTAATTTGAAAACGTTTAAATTAAAACTGCATCTTAAAAGATCCGCTCCTTGAAAATAGTATCACGGGGTATAACTAAACAAAAAAGATACACTATCATGTTTTGTCCTATAACTAGAATACAAAACCCTTCAAAACATTGATAGCCATAGAAGCCCTTCAAAATATTGATAGCAACACTCCCCAAGCATAACCCATTTGTTAAATTGGGAGGGAGAGAGGGAAAGAGAGATAACGTGATAATTTATTTATTTAATATTAGAGATATGCTAGAATCATATGTGAAAATGTCAAATTTGATTTATGTGAAATTATATTACTGTCTATGATTTTAAATTGTCTTCTAACCACGCGGTTGATATGATCACTCTTACAAAATCATCAGATTATTTATGTTTTGGTCTTAACGACTTCATACTGGTTTCACGAGGTGTGAGAGCTACTACTCTGCTAAGAAATCAGCACCAAATATTGAAAAAAGCATATAACTCAAGTGGTTTCATGTGCGCTTGAAATCTTGTACTCAAATCACCTCCCAATAGTACTTGCATTAAAAGAATACAAAGGCATATAACTCAAGTAGTAATTATACACATCTCGTTTTTTATTAACTATGAAAAAAAAGCTCACTAAAATGTGCTTTATTGCATGTTTAATGTCCTTTTGTTCATGAGAGTTTTTATTTTGATTGAAGTTAAATATGAACGCAACAAAAACTTATAAAAAAGCAAAACAAAGTTATTTTAGAATACCTTATACTTTCACACTGGTAATTTCTCGCAGACGTCGTTAGCCTGAACCCTAAACTTCAAACCCTGCAATCGATCTTTAGTGTATCTGCCAGTTCGAATCCCAAGACCTATTGGATTCGAACATCACTCAAACCCAACAGAGTACAAGGGAACCAGCCGCGTTAACTAAAAAAAAAGATGTGCTATCCACACACTTCATTTTACTTTTCACACACCTTTTGTTAATTTATGTCTATTGATCTTTTTCAATTTATCCGATCCGACGGTTGAAAATTAGAAGGATGTGTGAGAAGTAAAAAAGGATGTGTGGATATTTCTAAGGACTTGGCCGGGCCTTTGTCGTCAATGGCCAACTGGGCGAACTCCTTTTTATTCTGAAACTCCATTCACTCTTGTATGAGTCGATCCTCACAAATGGATAGTGTTTTTGTTGTTTTTTTTTGTCACATCCATTATTTTAATAAATCGTGTCGTGTCAAACTCATTATATTAATGGGTTCTTAACATGTGATCCGAGAATGATTCGACTCGGTAGTGAATCAACTCAAAACCTGTTATTTTCGTGTCGTTTAGTGTTGGTTTAAAGACTCATGTAAGAAATTGTCATGCCTAATGTCTAGACTTGACAAATGGGTCGTGTTCGTGTCGTTTATATGTCGTACCTGTTATCTTGATAGGTTATAGGTGATCTGATAATGACTCGAAACTTGTTATAATCCACCACTATTAACACCTCTATTCTCATCACTACTACTCCAACCACCATTGCTACTCACACCACTCTCGTCTCAACCACCATCGTCACCATTATTACCAAACAGAAATTTGTATTTTTTTTGACATTTGGTACCAAACGTGTTTTCTATTGTTTTTGTTTTGCAAGACAATTTTTCAAAAATAGTTTTGCAAAACATTACTGACCCTTATGGTACAGTAAAATCTCCGCAAAACAGAGTTTTATGAAGGTTGTTGCATTTTGCAAAACCGATCCAACTTTGTAAGCATCTTTTATTTGACTATGATTGTTGAGTATTTATATATCTTTGCGAGCGCTGAAATTTGAAAACAAAAATGTTATTAGTCATTTCGAAGCGGTTTTACCATTTAATATGCACATAAGCATTTATATATATTAGGCCTTTGTTGCTATTGATTAAAGATTTGCAGAAACAAATTGCTTAAATTTGAGCGCAGGGTTGGAAAAAAAAGAGCAAAACAAAGGTATTTTAGAATACCTCATATTTTATACTAGAGAAATACTAAGGGGACTTTTTGTGGAATATAATCACATCCGTTCATCTTACATCGTAGGAATATCCGACGAGGATCCTGCTGGTCCAAACTTAACAAGTCCATTCTCTCTGCCAGTTTCGATCCCAGGACCTATTGAACTCGACTTCCTCAAATCCAACGATGTACGAGGGAACCGGCGACATGGAACCTCCAAATTGTTTATTTAAGATGCTTGAGAATGTGGGCAAAAGTCGCAAAACACAACTCCCTTTGCTCTTTTGTAGTTACGTTTACAACTAGGACATTACCCTGTTTACATGATAAACTTAATCAATCAAGTAGTTTCTTACTTTTATTTATTTATTTATTGATTTTATTTCTATTCTGAAATTTTAATCTAAGAAAATAAAGTTTTCAATTCTTATAACAATTCTTAATGTACGGTGAATTTTGGTAATAATTCTAACCAGACGATTGATATGGTCACTTTTACAAAAATATGAGATTATTTATGTTTTGGTGGTCAACTACTTCGCACTGTTCTCACATGGTGTAAGAGAGAGCTACTCTAGTTACAACTCTATTGAAATTTATGTACCACACAAGAATTTAATTTTAGCACCCAATATTGAAAAGGGCATTCAATTCAAGTAGTTTAACGTGCTCGAAATTTTGTATGTTGAGTCACTCACTCTGTAGTGCTTGTATGAAGAAATACAAAGACGTGTAACTGAAATAGTAATTTTACACATCTCGTACTTTATCAATTATTGTAAAAAAAAACACTAAAATGAGCTTTACTACATATTTAATGTCTCTTTGGCGATTGAGAGTTTTTATTTTGATTGAAGTTAAATACGAACACAACAAAAAGTTTGAAAAACAAAACAAAGGTATTTTAGAATACCTCATATTTTCACACTGAAAAATCTCTTTGGAGAAGATCCCTTTCCGTTAGTCTAAACCCTAAACCCTTTCGATCTTGGAGAGGTCTGCCAGTTTCGATCCCAAGACTAATTGGATTTGAACCTCCCTCAAACCCAACAACGTACATGGGAACCAGCGACGTAAACTTCAAAATTATTATCTTTATTAATTATATTACATTGAGAATGCGGCCTATATTTCTAAGGGCTTGGACGGGGCATTGTTATCAAAGCCCAGCTCCATTTACTGGTGTGGTTTAATCCGGACACACGGGTTGTTGTGTTTGTGGCATATACGTTATTTTAAGAGATCATATAATGTCAAACTTGTTATTTTAATGAATTTTTAACAGATGATCTGATAACGACCCAACTTGTAAGCAGGTTGACCTGAAGCCTGTTTTTCTGTTGTTGTTTCGTGTCGGGTTAACATGTCAGGTAAAAAATTTCCATGTCTGATGTCTAGACCTAGCAAACGGGTCGTTCGTGTCGTTTATATGTCATATCCATTATCTTAATGACTGATCCAGTAACGGCTCAACTCATTAATGGGTTTACCTGAATTTTTTTTGTTTTTTTGTTTTGTGTAGTTTCACGTCAAATTAACGGATCGTGCAAGAAATTGCTAGACCTTAATTACATAATTACATGTATAACTACGACACTAAACTTGTTTTGAGTACGAACACAAGCGGAAAACCAGAATATACCAGAACATAGTTTCGTTACTTGGCAGAATCAATCCAAAACTGTATGCATCAATTTTACATTTAGAATTACAATTGTTAAAAATTTGAAGAAAATAAACAAAAATAATAAAAAAGGAAAATGGGCCTGTCCAGTTTAATCTAGTCCTGAAGCCCAGAACAGCACATCCATATAGACGCGGCCCATCTCAAAAGAAGAGGAAGAATTGGCGGAAGAAACAATAAAGAAAAAGGGAAAGGGGGGAGAGAGTGGTGAATCCCAAAAATCTCAAGCAGTGCCAAGGTTGGAGGAATGGCGCAGCAAGCAGTGCAGAAGAACACGCTGTATGTCGGAGGACTGGCCGAGGAGGTGAACGAGTCGATACTCCACGCGGCGTTCATACCCTTCGGGGACATCAAGGACGTCAAGACGCCGCTGGATCAAGCCACCCAGAAGCACCGCTCTTTTGGATTCGTCACGTTCTTGGAGAGAGAGGACGCCGCCGCCGCCATGGACAACATGGACGGCGCCGAGCTCTACGGCCGCGTCCTCACTGTTAATTATGCCCTCCCTGAGAAAATCAAGGGCGGTGAACAGGGTTGGGCCGCTCAGCCCAGTAAGTCCTTCTTCCCTTTTATCCTCCTTCCATTGTTATTGCTTTTGTGTGGATTTGAATGTTAGCTTGATTTGTTTAGATGGGTTTGGTTGATTTATTAATTATTTGGGTTATCTGGGATGTGTCCATTTTTGGGTTTTGTTGTGAAATTTGGTTCTAGGGTTCGTGATTGATGCTCTTTGGGGTTTACTTCTTGTTGTTATTAAGTGTGTATGTTAGTGTAGCTGTTTCGACTTTGGGGGTTTAGGGTTTTAGGATTCAATCTTTTTTTTTTTCGGTCAAAGTTTTAGGATTCAATCTGGGTATGCAGTCAATTTTACTTAGATTTAGATTCATGATTAGGATTCAGGAAGATACTAAGCTCTGGTATTTATATGCTTTTTTGGCGATCCGCCTCGTTTCACCCAAGTTCGAATCCTCACCCTCGTAGATTAGATTCATTAGAATGTATACATTGTTTTGTGAAAAAGAAAAGGGGTTGAAAGAAAATACAACAATGACATCGAATTAGAAACAGGTGAATAGCATTTTGAAGTTAATGATCGTCGTTGAACTAAAATTACTTGCTCGTGTTCAACTCAGATTGCTTAAATTGTTTGTCCGTTGAGATTAATGTTCATTCCGAATCAAGCTTGAACTTTTAGGTATGCTTAGCATCGTTCGTTGCTTTGTTATTACAGTTTGGGCAGATGCAGACACGTGGTTTGAGAGACAGCAACAAGAAGAGGAAATGCAGCGTATTCAGGCAGAGAACAAGGCTGCCATGCAGGCCGCGGAAGAGTTGCACAGGAAAAAATTGACGCAAGAACGAGAAGGGGAAAAAGAAGAGGAGATCGAGATGAAGGACGACCCCATGGCAAGGGCTGAGGCAGAGGCTTTGCTACAGAGTGACTAGTGTTCTACTGCTTCCAAGTGAAAATTATGTGAGGAGTATGCAGTTTTGTTCTATCAAATCCTCGCTTGTATAACTTAGCTAACGAAACAAACCCTTGGTTCCGAATGTCGTATTAATATTTGGTACAAGTGAGCCGAATAGGGGTTGATCTTTATGTTGTTGAAAGATTTTTTTGTGCACTTATTCCATCCAATCCAAGGTTAATGAATATATCCCAAGTTCGGAAACCCGAATTCGGAATCTATCTAGTGTGCACCAACTTCCGGTTGGTTGCTCAACCGTTCGTTCAGAGAAATGATATCTACACACCCTTTTACGATAACTTCCGGTTGGTTTTCCATAGAATGCAAAAGCAAAGATTTTACCAAGGCGGACAAAATCATCCAATTTTCGTACTTCCCAAGTTCGAATCCCCAACTGTAATAACGAAGATTGTACAAAGACCGGCAAATCCTTCAAATTCTCAAGTTCGAATCCCCCACCCCCATTATGCAAAAAACGAAGTTTCTACCAAGTTCGAATTCCAAACCTTTCCAAGCTATATAATTCGACGACAAGGGTGGTGCTATTCAGTATTCACACTTATTTTTTACTTCGAATACACTTCCCTTAATTTTTAGGTTGTTAGATAAAATGAATTGAACAAGATCAATTGACAAAAATTAACATGTACAAATTAGTGTGTGAATAGCACTCCCCTTCCGACAATACTTTACCGTTCTTAACTGCACGCCTTATGCACGTGCTAAAGCTCTCATCCCATTTCCCTCTCCCGCTAAGCTAAGCTGCTGATACTGAAAAGTGATAAATCTCACACTTATCGCTTCTATCTCATGGCTTAATAGTAAAACACCCAATCGTTGAATTTACCCGGGCGACGAAAAAGTTGAGCTCTTGGCGCACCTCTGTCCATGGCGTCTCTTCCTTTCACTCACTTTCTCCTCCTACCAAGGTTCCTCTCTCCTTCTCTCTCTCTCTCTCTTAAAATTCCAGTCTTTTAATTCAAAACCGTGTGTTTTCTTTTGCTCCTTATCCAAATGGCAATCCAAAACTGTGCAGAAATGAGAATTAATGAGTAATTAGATGAAAAATGTGGAAACTTTCCTGGGTTTGGATAGTTGTAGATTTTGTTGGTGGGTTTTAACTTCTAAGATAAACCCATGAAAAAACAACAGAATTTGCTTAAACCCTTAAAACGCTACAATTAATTGCACCCCACAGTCTCCTTCCCAAGAAAAATTAGTAAACTTGTTCACTGAAATTTCCAGGTGCCATTCGGTTTGGCCCAATAGCCGGTCGATGAGTTTCGTGCAGCTTCAGGGTCTTAGATTGCATGGTAAAAACCGGGGACTTGCAGCTCTCCCTAAAAAGATAAACTCGGAGAACTCAGCTCTGGAGGGTTCCGTTGAAGATGAGGAGGTGGTTGTGAAGAAAAAGACATCTAGGACTCCAAGAAGAACCCGAAAGAAAGCAACATCCGATAATGAGTCTTCGGATGAGGAAACTGTCATTTCTGCATCTAGTGAAGAGACCAAGAAACCGCGTGGAAGAATTCGTAAGAAAGGTATTATTCCTACTTTTGCTCATTTAGTATTGTTACATGAATGTTTATCTTGTATGTGCTAACAAACCAGTAATTTGATGTTCTAGTAGCATCCGCTTCATCAAGCGTGGAGGAAGAACAAACTGAGAAGAAGGTGAGGAAGAGAAGAACTAAGAAGAAAGACGATGCAATTGAGCAACAGGTTAGCGACGGTGAACTTAGTGAGACTGAGGATTTTACATTCGTTATGGATATGAAGGATGAGAACGAGGAAGACCTAGAATTGAAAATTGATGAGGGAGAGGATATTAGCGAAACTTATGATTGGCCTCCTCTTGTTTGTTGCTTTGGAGCCGCACAACATGCTTTTGTGCCCTCGGGGAGGCCAGCCAACAGACTTGTAGATTATGAAATACATGAAAGAAAGAAAGATGCATTATGGGCCCCTGAGAAATTTGTTAGGTCTCCTGGGGGATCTGCAGGCAGCGTCGCAATTGCTCTTGCAAGCCTGGGAGGCAAGGTTGCTTTCATGGGAAAGCTTGGGGATGATCAGTTTGGTCAGGCCATGCTGTATTATATGAATGTCAAAAATGTTCAAACCCGTTCTGTTCGCATGGATACTAAAAGAGCAACTGCAGTATCACAAATGAAGATTGGTAAAAGGGGTCGCATGAAATTGAGTTGTGTCAAACCATGTGCTGAGGATTCTTTAACAAAGTCAGAGATCAATGTCGATGTGCTGAAGGAGGTAAAATCTTGGGTCCTTTGGAATATTTAACTTGTATAGTAGATCCTGCTATTTAGGTGGTATATATTTGTTGTGTTTCTTTGTAGGGGAGGGGGTGAATAAGAAATGCTTACATTCTATATCATACACAGTTTTCGGCAAATATACTTCCATCTGTGATTCCCATTATATTTTGTCAATTTGAGTGCCTATGCATTAGATCTTTTAGCTGCGTTTGTGGTTAGATTGCACTTAACTGTGGACACCTTTTAACAACCTGTGGTGCAGGCAAAGATGTTTTACTTCAGCACAAATTCTCTGCTTGATCGAAACATGAGGTCAACTACACTGCAAGCAATCAAGATTTCGAAGAAACTTGGAGGAGTTATTTTCTATGATGTAAACCTTCCATTGCCACTGTGGCAGTCTTGTGAAGAAACAAAGTTGTTCATACAGCAAGTGTGGAATCTTGGTGATATTATTGAAGTTACTAAGCAAGAGCTTGAGTTTCTCTGCGGGATCCAGCCCTCTGAGGAATTTGACACTAAAAATAATGACAGGTCAAAGTTTGTTCATCATTCACCAGAAGTGGTTGAACAGCTTTGGCATGACAATCTTAAGGTTTTGTTCGTGACAAATGGGACTTCGAAGATACACTACTACACAAAGGACCACCAAGGTGCCGTTAATGGAATGGAAGATCCCCCCATTAGTCCTTTCACTTCTGATATGTCAGCATCTGGAGACGGCATTGTGGCAGGTACACTCCTATTATCTGCAAATCTATCAAATTTTAGTTTCTTTAGTGATCGAGCGTGTCTACAAATGCTTTCACTATGAGAGTAGGTCCTGCTTAGCTCTTGCATTTGGGTGTTTGGGTCAAGAAATGCAGATACAAGCCTATAGTTTATATTCCCTGGCGTATTCTGTTGATAAAGTTATGTGTTGTAAGATTTAGATTCTGGCTATTAGTTTGGTGCACTTCGTGTCAACTTTCACTCACACACAGGATCACTTCAAAATTCATTGATGCATATAATTCTATTCTCATCAGTGATTATTGCATCACATTACTTCATGCAAACGCACAAGGTATCACTGGGCACAGTTCGTCATGGACAAAACTTGTACCTGGACTGATGTGGTGAAATTATCAATGAGTTGGAAAACAACGTAAAACCGTGAGTTAACTCATAATTTTAAACCTATGCATGTAATTACATTGGCCGGTAGGTTAGATGATCGCAAAGACAATAAACTGGATATCTGCATTACAAGCTAAATTTTTGTATTTCCTAACTTCTGCGTGACTTGTTTTCAGCTCTCATGAGAATGTTGACAGTTCAACCACATCTTATTACTGATAAAGAATATCTGGAGCACTCAATCAACTATGCAATCGATTGCGGGGTGATAGATCAATGGCTGCTTGGACAAGAACGCGGCTTCCCTCCAAAGGAAGACATGGAAGAAGTGGTTCCTTATTCAGACGGTATAAGGTCTATAACAGAAATGGAGTATCGCACTCTCACACCAGAGACTGTAAGTTGATAATCCTGGAGGTGTTGTAACTGAGATAGAATTACAAGTTAGTCACCAATTTTGTATGCGATGGATAGCATTTATAAGCAGATTCAGAGCTAAAGATTTGAAACCGTGTGTTATAACTCGATAGATACTACGATTGCTTCCAACTAGCTTATAACAGTTTTTCGTTATTTCGCCCGAACAAGCGCATTTTTTCGATCAAAATGTGCGCAGGGCTATCAGAATTTGGAGGACATTGACAACATTCTGCTTGTTTGTTTAGTTAATGTGTTTAGTCACAAATGTAATGTTTTAAGGACATTGAGAACAAGTTGAATGGTCTTAATCTTATCCAACTACAAAGAGTGATTCCCACGCGCTTTAATGTGGCTATATAGAAAAAGATTGGATATGCCAAGTGGTTTTCATTTTATTAATTGGGAGTGGTTGAGGGGTAGGTGTCAAAACCTTTTAGAGCCCGAGGATTAAGATTGAACGATGGTGACCGCAATTTTCTTGAACTACAGGTGTCTAGGAGAACGAGAATGTATTTAAACCAGCTCGGTCTTTGAAGAGGTAAAAAATTTTCAGTGTACTTAGAACACAAGCAGTACACAACGTGTGACGCAAAATTTAAGTGGAGGGACAATTGGAAATATACCAAATGCCAATGGGAAGGAAGCACCCTTGAGAAAAATACCATCCAACCTTTGAGTCTTTCCTATTAGCAAAGTAGAACCAGAAAAATGGCTTTTGGGTTAAAGTCCCCAACTTTATTGACCTCTACCCCACTAAACATGAGGGAAGGCAAGGCAAAATAGGGAAATTAACCGAAAGATTGTACAAAAGGTGACTAATGACGAAAGATATCGAATCGCAGGCATCGAATCCCTCTGGTAAACACAAAACATACACTTAGACACGAAAGGATTCGACCCTATGCGGAAAATTGAGTACCAGCATCAAGTTTTGAGGCAGCTGCCTCGTCCAAAAACCACACCAGCTTCCCTTTCAGTGGCTGGACAACTCCAGCAGGCACTGGAGGGAGGTCAGATCCCATGACGTCGACTGCCAGGTGCGCAGCCTCTGCTTTGCTTTCACCTGTTGCGACTATAGCTACATTGGATGCTGAGTTGATGACCGGCAGAGTGAATGTGATTCTCTCGGGTGGAGGCTTGGGGGAATCAGTTATAAAAGTTACCCATTCATCTTTCTCCTCCAGGACCGAGTGGTTGGGAAATAGCGAGGCAACGTGCCCATCAGGACCCATTCCCAGGAGGATGAGGTCAAACTTGGGACAGTCACTTATATCAGACACGCTGATCACACGAGATTTTACTAGCTGGCGAATGACAAACCCGTAGTCATCAGCAGCCTCCTCTGCTGACACTGAATCATTAATAGAATGCACATGACTGGGAATTATAGGT